ATTCACACCGTACTGCTTTCGTGCTGCATTTACCTACCTTAGAACAACTACAGTCAGTTGATCGTGAGCGGCTTGTGTGTAGTGATGTGCTCTGGCTTCAGACTACTTTATGCCTTACATGATTTAGCACCCAGTCGTCGTCGGTTTGTCGCTAACTTGAGAAAAATAGACAGGCTACTAAACCAACAATAATAAGAAAAAAACAACAGAACTAATATACTGATCGAAAACGTGTTTCTACTTTGCATGATGTGTAATCATTTGCATCTTCCTCCATAATTTGTTCCAGTGAATGAAGTGAAGAGGAAGACCTAAAAGCACATTAAACTGGGAATTGGAGGCAAACATAAAAACGAGTAGCAATCGGGAACACCTGGAAAGATTCCAGGACAGATTTGGTTGTAGAATTCTAGTCGACGGCTTATGTTCCTCCATGAGGGGTAACAGGTGTAAGGAAATAAGTAGAAAGTATGTAATGAAATATAAATCCTATTTGCTTCGTATTCATTCTGTCGATTGTGCACGTTGATACAACGTAAATAATCAAAGCTGAATACCGATTTTACCTAGGATATGTATATTTCAGACATTATGCTATTGAAAGAAAAAACACTCAGTAATAGATGCAACGAATGTGTAAAGCATTAGAGTTCTGTAGTACACCTACTAAGCTAGCAGTAAGTCTACTCAGTTCTTATAGTTCATGTAAGAATAAAGATGAACTGACAGAAACACATCTACCATGTATATGATATATGGTCATTGTTACAAGTGAGGTATTGGAATGGACATATATGAATGAAAGAATAACTTAAAAGGCTTACTTGTTTTGTCATCTTAGCACTGCTCAAAAGGATCGGTGTACAAAAGTGTCCGAAAAAGAGTGTAATGAATATAATTCGTCCATAAATCAGAACAAGGCTGCTAAACGCTGATCAACCAGATATGGTTTCAACCTTTATGATTTTAATGTTGGTGAGGCTATAATTCATGGATAAACCAATGAAATTGGAGACAACAAGTCTTGGTTTGTGAAGCGAAATGCATTCATCCACATAGTTAAATAGAATTTTGGCGTTATCGCTGATGCCACTACGTGATGAAAACCTTAACTCCAATTCTAAACTCTAACCTCCAATTCTCAATCATAATCCTGGTTACTAGACCCTAGTAAGTAGGTGAATTTTCTCAAAAAGTTATTCATAAATCACTGTCTTACCTTAATACTTTCTCTCCAACTATCGTCAGTTGTCACTATCAGAGACGTTGCCAAGACATTATTACACTCGACCAGATTTATCAGTTATCGTATGCTATAGAGTTTTCTATCACCTAGATTTTAGTGTTAATCTAAATTTGTTGATTGATAACAGTCCGAGCAACTCCTTGATAATATATCTGACTACTAATTGATTACCCTATTTTTATGTAGATTACAGATTTGTAGTGACCTACTTTTATCAAGAAAACTCGATTGGTTTAACGGAAACAATTATTATTATAACCGATTGTACCAGTGATTGTTTTACTGTGCTTGTTTGTCTAACTGTACTGAAGACATCCATTATTCTTCTATTCTTCCTTCCGTTGGTTGTGACCTTGCACGAACTTACGTTTGAACAGTATATTCGCTTGTACTCTTTTGGTACGATCTCAGTATTCTTTCGATACCACGAGATCACCAACAAATATATATCGCTACAACTTTCAATCGACTTCTGATATTTGGTACGCAACCTTCCTGTAGTGGTGATCATAGTCAACTGCGATTCGACGCCACACTACAGATTAACTTGAAAAATTGACCAATAGAATCCAGGTAGCAATAAAGATAAAAAAGAATCAATGATAACATCTCTATCTGTGATAATGAACAACGTGCGCGCAATTTCCGAAGAGCTTGTAGTGAGGTGTCGAGTAGCAGTTGACTATGAACACCGCTACAGAGAAACACGTGCCAGGATATCCATAAAATCCGCCGAAAGTAAAATATCAGAAGGCAGTTAATGGACCAAGTCGAGATATATTTGCTGGCGATCTCGTGGTATCGAAAGAATACCGAGATCGTGCCAGGATACAAGCTTAGTTACTGAGCGTAACTGGATTCGCGCAAGGTGACAATCGAAGTAAATATAATGGATGTTTTTAACACAGTTAAACAAAGAGCACATTAAACAGTCACTGGTACAATTGGTTATAATAATAATTGTTTTCAATAAACCAATCGTGTTCTCGTGATAAAAGTGAGTCACTACAAGCTCGTCAGTTCCCTCAAAACTGTAAATAAAACTTGATTCGTTAAACTCGAGTCCAAAGTTTTTACGCAGAAAACTATTAAAGTTATTACTGTCTATATTTATTTTTCCAATTTAAACGAAGTTTGATTGAAATCATAAATCGATGTAGGTTAGACAACCATTAAAATCCTGGAATCATTGAACGTCCGTTTCGTCCTAATATAGGGTTTCTCAACAGTGCACATTTGCGAGGTTAAGCATTCGCATGTAAGGCCGAAGGTCCTTGATCCGATCCTCAGTTGCGGGGGATTGGAAACGCATTTTTGAGGGGCTCCATACTAGAAAAATACAGCACTTCCTGGTTTTCAATGGTTACCTAAATTACATTGATTTGTGATTTCAATGCAATCCAAATCCCACACTGACAATTGCACAAAGTTTTTGAATAGAGAACTTACGTTTCAAATAATTCCTCTCCTTTGAGGTGGAATTCCTTTTCTGTTTTGTTCTTCTATTTTATTTCAGTAATTTATTCAACCAACCACTGGTGATTAGTTTTACTTTCTGGATAACATGGATAAAGTTCTGTATTTTTATTCAAATAAACCATAGTTATTTCACTGTATTATACTCTTTAAATAACATCTCCAAACACTAATCTTCCCGATTACTGCTTATACTCTTATTACCTCTACCACTACGGGATTTGAATCGACCACTGCATCTCTATGCTAATGTGGTGTGGCAACTCGAACTGATGTACGTACGTACGAAGTTCTACGTTGTTACTGACTGACGGACTGACTGACTGTGTTATTCCATTAGTTAGTGAGTTATAAGGTTCTGGAGGAGTGAGGCATAACAATCATAACTGTTGTCTAACTGTGTCTTACTGATGTAAATAGATTTCAATTATCATATAGAAATCTAATATCACATGAACTTGATCATGATAATAAGTACTTGGAGGCAAATGATAGGAAGTCTTAGAGAAAGATTTTATGATAGCGAGATGTATCCAGAGCCTTGAGTGAAATGTTGGCTTAATTTGTTTCTTACCCAGTGTCACATTCCCTGGTGTTTCCAATAAGCTATTATGATCACAACCTACTTACAGTAAGAATAAGATATTTAAATGGTTTTCGTTTTTTCTCTCATAACTGTTCATTTGAAAGGGTTAATTTAGCATTTTGTAAAATGATGTTTGTTTTTTAAATCAAACAGATCATAGATTAAATATGAATATCTAATATTATGTTAGCAACAACGTACTGTGGGAGAGAACAAATCAGATCCCAGCGGAGGAAGAAATCAGGAAGAAGCGCTGGAAGTGGATAGGACACACATTGAGGAAAGCACCCAACTGCGTCACAAGACAAGCCCTCACATGGAATCCTCAAGGCCAAAGAAAAAGAGGGAGACCAACGAACACATTACGCCGAGAAATGGAGATAGACATGAGAAAAATGAACAAGAATTGGATGGAACTAGAAAAGAAGGCCCAGGACAGAGTGGGTTGGAGAATGCTGGTCAGCGGCCTATGCTCCATTGGGAGTAACAGGCGTAAGTAAGTAAGTAAGTAAGTAATATTATGTTATCTAGGGTCAATTTCTTATTGAGTTCTATCAAAATAATATTGATCGAATTGGTAAATAATCAGAAACGATTATTATGAAGGATAAATGAAACGACAAAAGTCAACAATAATCTTATATATTATATTAGATCATTTGGAAACTGATATAGAAAACCTAAAAGTAGCAGATGAGACAAGATTTCCAAAAGAACGGTTGGATAGCTTTAATAGCAAAAGCAACAAATGTAATATTCAAAAGGTCATCAGTACTGGGGTATGTTAACAGTAAATTGTTTCCTTGGGTCTATGAACACCTCCAATTGTTCTGTCTTCTCATAACTAGGCAGGTAGGGAGAGTCACAGATGATACATAAAAAAAACTATACGCATAACGGCTACAGATAAACGATTTCAAGAAGCTGTCCCTTGAACTCTGTGATCCCAATCCCAGGTCAGTAAAGTCATTTACTTACCCATTTTGTTTTATAGGTCACAGCTAAATCAAATAGCTTTGTGACGAGCTGACAGGTGAAAAGCACCCGAACTTTTTACAGAATAACTTAAAAATCAAGTGAGAATTTTCAATGTTTTCACAAATAGTCGACGAATTTACCTTCTATATGATTGACTATTCTTCTTCAAAAGATAACAAGTACAAAATGACACTACAGTAGGGTAAACTAATTCATTCAAATTATGTATACCATTGACAGTAAAATAATGTTCCAATTGTCAGTATGGATAACAATTCATGATTCCTCTCATTTGGGAAGCTACAGTGTTTTAAAGAGAAAAAAAAAGGTTATTGGCTTGTAAACCACAAATAAAACAAATTAGATTTCTATGAGTCTCCAGGTCTCTTATCCGCTTTAGTTGAATGCCTGATCAGTGTTCCAGTGACTAGTTTAATATAAAGAAATGGATAGGTAGACAGGAATAACAATTGGAAAGTTGGGACAGACATCAGTTTTATTTTAGAACATGGATATGTACATATATCTAGTTGAGGGGATTAGGGAAAAGCTAATCATGTGACCTATAATAATAATAATATCCTACCAATCAGTTTACTTAATGTGTGGGCGTAACCCTTTTTTCGACTGCTCGTAACTCATTGATTAGCTCAGACCCTGATTACAGGTAAATTTGAAAAATAATATAGTTAGCAGTAGAACAGACAAACAAATGTAGGGAGATGTAGAGGTAGAAAACTGTACTCAGTTAACATCTTGGTTAGTTATTATTATTAGTGTAACATTAATCAGATGGCAAAGCTCTTGAATATTTCAGAATAATCGATTTATCAGAGAATAGTAGTACAATAACTAAAAAAATATGGACTAATTTACTGCTTAACGAAGAGATTTACTTTATGTACAGAGGTAGTTTCCGTCAACTGATGGATCATACTCACTTTTACTCTTCTAAACAATAATAGTAACAAGGATGGTTATAAGGATGATGATGATAATGAATGGTAGATAAATCTGTTAACAAATCAGTATGGGAACCGTACTTTCAACATTTTCCAATGAAGATTCATCACAATATCCAGTACATTCACTTAGAAGACCATTAAGTGATGTGCATAAAACAAAAGAATTCAAGTGTTACATTCCATCTACACCACATAATGAACCTTATGATGAATACATTGATCAACATGGATCAATCAATAAAAATTTGAATTTCGATCAAAATGGTGAAGCTTTAACAATACAAAAGGAATATGAATATATTTCTGGCAATCGTTATATAGAATCAGATAAAACTCACAATTCTGCAAATATGTTTGGCTTAAAACGATTCTTATTCTCTGGTTTATCACGTAAAACAAAAATGTCTGTTAGTAATGGGATTATTCCAAGTTTAAGAACCCCAGATAATCGAATTCATAGACTATCTGTTAAATCTGATGGAAAAAATACTGTTCATGGTCGTGGGGATCAAATGAAAGTTTTAGTTCATTCAAAAAATCACTCAACGATTGAAATCCCGTTATTTTACTGTCATCAACAAAAGGAACATCTTGAAGAAGATTCAACAAAGTTAATTAATAATATACAGAATATTCAATTAGACAATGTTCAATTAAATTCTATATCTTCCTCATCATATTGTGATACATCAGTTCCAAAAGAAGTTTCTCAATTTGAAACTTTAGGAATAACACAAAGTTCTTGTCATTTTGAATCCAGAGATATTATGAATGATAGTGTTAGCCAAGAGTATCGTTCATCTGGTCAAAACTCCCTAACAGACTTTAAATCAGTTTATCGGAAAGATTTTATAATTCACCACGATACTACTACTAATACTACTATTAATAAACATCATAAACAATTATCTGAACCAAATTCCCGATTGAGACATCGTTATTCTCACTGTTTATCTACAGAGTTTAATCGAAAATGCTGTGCTACACACCATCATAACAATGATATTATTGGTAATACCATGCCGTATACACCTAGCCTTGTTGATTTAAGGTGGGTTGCACGATCTAAAGGTTCAAATATCAAACATTCAAACGAACAGATTTATGTAAGTAATTCACCTTATTCACTGATAGAAAATAACTCTACTGTGCAAAGTTGTCAGAATAATAAAGATTACTTTTATATACCTACGTCTACAATATCAGAAAAATCGTCTAAACAGCTTTCAACATTCAACGACAATTCATCTCCAGTGGACACTTATCCAAGAGAATATCACCATCCTAATCCCACACATCATAACTATCACCAATATCAAAATAATCAATTGATAGTAGAACACATTTCACGGAATGTCACTGATACTTCACCGAGTACACGTAGTTGTTCATTCGATATGCGTTTTCCCCTATACAATCATCATGATAATCAGTCAGATAAACAAAACTCCTCTTTGTGTACTGTTAAAGATAATTATGCTCCAATTTTTATACCACCGAATACTTCTACACTCTCTGAAAGTAATAATATTAAAAGCTTTAATTTATCTTGTGTACATAATTGTTTATCAGCTCAAATGTTTGAAATCCCTGATAATAATACACAATATAACTATCAAAATGAAACAAACAAAATGGAAGAACAATTATCAAGTAAATTCGATAGACATTTAACTGAATATGGTATTGATTTAACAATTCCATCATCTCCTATTCATATACAACGTAAGATCAATGGAATGGGATTTGATAAATATCGAAATATTACAAAATCAATATCATGTTATGCTTTAAAACTTTTCACACATCATAATAACAATCATTTTTATCAACAAAAATATAAAAAAAGTTCTGTCGAATCAACCACAATGACAAAATCATTTTTCCGAACAAATCACATCATTTATGATCGAAAAATATCTAAAATACGCTCTGATAAGAAAATGAATGATCGTATGAAAAAGAATTCTTTTGTTAGAGATGTTGAAGAATTAAAAAGATATAATCAACAATTTGAAGAAAGTAATACAGTTGCTATGACAACTACAGCTATGACAACAACATCACCACCACCACCACCACCACCACCACCAACAACAAAACCAACAAGTGCGATGAATAACAATCAAAAAAATAGTCTTATCCCACAATATTATAGAACTGATGCTCAATCAACAGATTGTATCAAGTGTTTTAATCATCGTAAAAGTATTGGGAAACTAGATGGAATTAATGGAATGTTTGAAAATCTAAAATCTGATCATAAACTTGATCGATACTATAATATGAAACATCTTAATCATGACAATCATTGTTATTACGATACATCTATATTGCAAACAAGTTGGAGACGAGGTGAAGTGAAGAAAGATCAATACCAGTCAGGAAGTGGCAAGTCTATTAATAATATTTCTATGACTACTAATACTACTACTACTACTACTACTACTACTACTGCTACAGCGCCTCATGTTTATAATTTATTTCGGCAACCGATATTTAAAGCAAGTACAAGTGAATTATTAAAATGTTTATCTATTTTTATTGTTGCACGTATACAAATGAATTTATTAGAAAATTCAAATCATTTACATAATTCTGATTTACATGGTATTCAACCAGCAATTATTGTTGCATGGATTCGAGCTATTGATCGAGCACTTCTATTACAAGGTTGGTCTGAAGTAGCATTCATTAATCCAACTCATATTGTATTTTTATATATGATGTTAAAAAATTTTATACAAAATGGTAATATACATACAGAACGTGAATTGCATACAATCATTATGGCATGTCTTTATTTAGCTTATTCATATGCTGGTAATGAAATCAGTTATCCATTAAGACCATTTCTTATTGCTGAAACAAATCAATTTGTTGCACATTCAGAAGGTGGAAATAAAAAGTTATTATCAAGTACAATGCATGTATTAACATCATCATCATCATCATCCTCCTCCTCAACAACAGCAACAACAAGTGTAGAGAATTGTTTAAAATCAAAAGTAATTGATGAAGTACGCAATCGATTTTGGCAATATGTTATACGTATAGTCAATGAAAAATCTTCAGAAATGCTTCGAATTAATGCTGAACCAATATTATTTACACAAATGTTTAAAGAATTAACTTTATATGACAATATTGTTATTGCTATGAAATTATTCTCAAATCATAATTATCATATCAACAATAAGAATATCAATATTGATGACAATAATGATCGATCTGGATAACAGAAATTGACAAAATATGGATTATACCATATAAGATTTTAGCGCCCTATTCATGCATATAGTTGCATATTTTCAAGTAATACATATTGCTTGTCTAACTTTGTATTCAATAAAATGAATCAACACCAACACAATTTACTTATTTACATCTACTCCCTTCGACTTACAAATATAAAAAGTTGTATAGTAACAAAAATAAATCGGATATTTTCATGGAAACAATATACAGATACACATAAATCAGGTCTTTCATTTCATTATAACTGTGAATAAATGAGAAATGAGAAGCATTCACTTATTCGCCTCTGTTTTTTTTTTTTTTGGGGATTCTTTCATTCTCCTCTATGATACTCTTCATAGTTGTTTTTATTTTTTTAAAATGTTTATTTTTTTTGCATTTATTATTACATGTTAATACAATGTGAAATGATGCATGAATTGCTTTTGTTGTTGAATTGTATAGAAATTACAGTTCAGAGAAACTATTTCACCTTTTATGTCTTTACTCGCTTTGATCAATACATAGATTTATGCATTGTGATAGAATATTTCATGTCTAGTATTATTATTATTATTATTACCAGTTCACCTATATTTGTTAATAACTTTGTTACTACCTCGATGTTATAAACGATGATGCCTATGATGAAAATGTGAATGTAGAAAGAATAAACTAGAGCTTAATTCATTTCTTTCTATAATCTTTCTTTACATACTCTCACTCTCTCTCACTCTGTGTGTGTGTGTGACGAAACTGTCTTGTTTTGTATTACTGACTCTTTCAAGTTGGATAAATTGAGCACAATGTGACTGTTGATTAATGGTTACATAATTGTAAAACGTTATTTTCAATAAAGAATGTCTCTATCGTTTTATTCTATTCTAATTTATTTCAATAGGAATAATTGTGATGATTTTTAATTAACGGAAGTGATCGGAAAAGGTCAGTGTATACGAATGAATTCCATTGATTTTGAAGTAGATAGGTAATTTATGTAACATTTATTATCGTACTAAATAGGACATTTAGGTTATATTTCAGAAGAACTATGATCAGACAATGTTCTTATGAATGAAATAAACATATGCTTGAACAATCTACTATACAGTCGAATTTACTGTTTATGATCAGGAAAACGATGTCACATCAACAGAACATACCATTTGTTTCTGAAGTTGTTTTTAGTTTATAGGACAATAAGAAAAGTCTACTAATACTAGGCTATCCAGCTCGAAAAGCAGTGACTACAGTGGAAATTGTGGGACTTTTTATATGAATGTTCCACGATCAAAGTATATTGTTACTTGAACGATGATTTGAAACTGCAACTTATCTCTAAAGAAGAAGAATATATTTGTATTTGCTTTAATGTCTCACATTAACTCGACGCCAAAAATACTGTGAAACTATTCGATCAAATTTAGACGAAAGTTTTTATTTATTATTCTGCAATTATCTCTGTTTAAATCTCCAGTGTTATCCACTAGGTTATGATATTCATATCTTGATCAATGGGTATTACTCATTATAAATATTCCTGTTTGTGTTGCTGGTTTACGGTAGTGAATAATGTAGTAAAAGAAATAAGGCATACTTGATGATATCAACTTTGAAATAAATAAAAACTACATGTATAATGATAATATTCGTTGAAATTCAACTTCATTATATCTGTTTACTATCATAACTATTACTAGAAATAAAAGTTCCTTTCAACAGAAAACAACCATGCTAAAAAACGCTAACCAGAATGAACAAATCAAATCAATTAATATCTTCCCTTCGAGTTGAAGGGAGAATTATGACGCTTCAGGTTGAAAGCCGAGATTCTTCGAAAGTCACGCAAGTGATGTCCATTCTAGCAACCAGAGCACGAAATTTTATAGGTACACCGAATTACTGCACAATATAGGAGACCAAGAGGACCAGTCAACTAGATGCTGAAATGAGAAGATACAATTTGACGGTGCTCGGAATAAGCGCGACCCACTGAACCCAAGCTGGACAGCAAAGGATAAAAGCGTGAGAGATGCTCGTGTACTTCCATCACGAATGAGAGAATGATACACACGTTAAAGGAGTTGCTCTGATGCTGTCCAAAGAAGCACAAAATGAACTTAGAGGATGGGTAACTCATAGATCCAGGATTAACAAATCATCATTCAAAGCACAAAAGAAAGGAATCACAATGAACGTTATCCAAAGTTATGCACCCACCAATGAGAGTAGAGACGACGATTAAGATCAGTTTTACGAGAATTATGAAGACTTTCACATTTGAGCGGAAGCACAGAATACAATGGGCAACTTCGATGCAACTAGACGACTTGGATTTCACAGTTGACCTAGCACTTCTATCCCATACACACCAACAAATGCAGATGAAGGCAACTGGTATAGCAGCAGCCTCTGCATCAGTAGGCCTCATCATACAAAACGGAAAATGCAAGATCTCCAAATGCAACACGGAGAACACCAATCCAATCACACTTGATGAAGAAGCTCTGGAGTCTTTCGCGTACCTGAACAGCATCATCGATAAACAAGGACGGTCTGATGCAGACGTAAAGGCAAGGATTGGCAAAGCAAGGACAGCACTCCTACAGTCGAAGAACATATGGAACTCAAAACAACTGTCAACCAATATCAAAGTGAGAATCTTCAATACGAACGTCAAGACAGTTCTGCTGTACGGAGCTGAAACTTGGAGAACTACCACAACCATTACCAAAATGTACAGGTATATATATATATATATAAACACTTGTCTACGAAGGATACTCGATGTCCGTTGACCTGGAACCATCAACAACAGCCTACTGTGAGAGAGGACAAACCAGCTTCCAGCTGAAGAGGAGATTAGGAAGAGACACTGGAAGTGGATAGGACATAAAATTACGGGAATCACCAAACTGCATCATGAGGCAAGCGCTAACTTGGGATCCTGAAGGGAGGCGGAAAATAGGAATGCCGAGGAACACACTGCATCGAGAATTAGGAGAAGACATGAAAAGGAACAATTATCCCTGGACAGAGTTTGATGAAGAATGCTGGTGGGCGGCCTATGCTGCTTTATGAGGGGTAACAGACGGAAGTAACATTTGGCTATAGAGTATGGAATCCAAGGTGAAATGTGGCAATTTAGGTACTATACTCTGAAATAATTAACAGCAATTATCGGCAAAACAATCACAGGAAGCAACTCAAATGAGAATACTAACGTTCGAGTTCAAAAAGATGATAGAGTGGAAAGCTTTACCAAAATTAGGTTGCCTTTGAGTGATACAATTGGCTTTTACCCGCCGCAAAGTCTTTTGCTCATCATACGAGTCAGATTAATTTGCAATACATTTAGTGGCTGGTTCCATATGTTTGATTCAACAAACTACAGCGGCTTACTGAGTTTCTTATATAAACCATTGTCCTATTTAGACGTGGACTATGAATAATTATGGTTAATGGACAAAGGAACTACTCAAAGTCTATGTTAATCATGATAACTTCATTCAAAGTACCTGTAGAGTGAATTCACTCTACTTTTAGGATTCTAATAAGCAGAATGCCCTGGATCTTGGCCTTGTGTTAGTTTACTCAAGTTGGCAAGAATCTAAAAATCTGACGAAATTGATGCCCAACAAGTCACAACTGATTTACCGGAGGTCCTAGAAACGGCGTGACTGAGAAGCTATAAAGATCAAACGACAGAACGATATAAGGATTTTGAATAGTTGAGCATTTAACTTCCTGTGTTCTAATACTGATTTAAAAGTAACACTAAAATGTAACTTCGAATAAAATCCGTAAATAACGATGCTAGTAAATACCAACGCAAATGAAAACAGGTCCTTTCTAGAAGCTTGCACCATGTCAGCAAGTTCAAACTTTAATGTTAATGTATGTACGTCATGCCCTCCCAAAGCATTAGTGGCCAATCTATTTTTGGGTTAAACTTTTAGACCATTTTTTGTAAGTAGTTTAGACTTACAATATTGGACTATTCTCACTGTTGAATCCCCGAGTCAATGTGAAGTTTGTTAACATTCTCTGCACCTATACTCGTCCCATCAACTCTCTTCGTGTACTGTTTTATACTACTTATTAATATTCAGTAAACAGTTGTATTCCTAGCTATTTCTGTGTATGTCGTAACACAAGTTTATGGTGTACTAATCTAAATTTTTTAAGTCTACTTATAACATTTATTGTATTTATCCTTATAATCACTTTTTCTCAATCCTCGTAGCAGTTGTTCGCAATTTTTCATGGCCGTTTAATCCTTTTTTAAACGCAACGGTTTCTATATTATTGTCCTTGGTTCCGTTTTGGCTTGTTGATAAACTGTTATCAATATTAGACAGTAATCAGCTGACATTTGTACTATCGTATGTTATAATTATTGTTTACGCTGGTGTTGTAGGAGACCCTTTTCATTTCAGACTTACAGACGCGCTAAGAGCGATAGATACCTCACAAGTTGAGGTTTGTAACAAACTTACGTATATTACTCAATAAAGAACCACTTTTTAGACAAATCGCTGGTTTGTGAACTTCGATTTCGAGGGTATCACAATTGTGTGATTAGACACTTCCATAAATTTAACGGTCGATGTGAGCTAGACTCGTGAATTCAATTTTGAAATACTACAATCTCCACAAGTCCCAATATTAATAATATTGGGTTAGCAGAGAAGGATATTGGCTCCGACCAGAAACCGACCGTGTTTGATGTAATTCACATTATTTTTATTGAAGACAACATGGCCCAATCTATCTGATATTATCGGTATTTTAAAAGGTTCAGTAAATTGTTTGTTTTGTGACAATGGTCAATTTGATCGAAAGCATGAATCGATTGACGTTAGACCACGAATGAAAACCTGGAAGCAATGGACGGTCGTTTCGACCTAGTACAGAACTCATCAGTAGTGCGCACCCAGGATCTTCGGTTACGCTCACGAACGCTTGACTTCTAGGCCACTGGGCCGAAACTCAACGGTATTAATGTCTAACTTCAAACAGTCCATGAAGTTGCTCGACCATCTCTCATCGTCTGAGGTAGATACCTATTTCTAGCTGACGTGGATTAGCTCCGCTGGTCACGGCTTCTCACTAGAACTTGTGGATATGCATTGCTAAGGAGTCTCATACTAAGACAAAACGGTCGTTCGGTGCTTCCAGGTTCTTAACGGTGATTTAACATCAATCGATTCATGATCTTAATCAAAAACTTAACAACCTCCACAACCCCATACTGATAATAGTCACTTTATTCACTATAAACCAGAATAACAACAATAGAGAATTTGAGCAATTTTTTATGTAGGTGTAAAAAAATGACATATATGCCATATTTAGATTGTAATGATGAGAATTACAAAGAAATAATTATTTAAGGAGGCATACGTACACCTCCATCCAATCGAATTACTGTACCATTAAGCATTGGATTACAGATGATGGATTCAACAAGTTTTGCAAATTCTTCAGGTTTACCTACACGATTCGGGTTTAATGAAAGCTTTTTCAACAATTCTGCATTTGGCACGGCGTTAAGTAATGGGGTATCAAATAATCCTAAAGAAACATAATTTGGAAAATTGATAAATGCAACGTATATCTGTAAGTGGCTGTGTACAAAGGTTATATATCCTGTTTGTGTATTGTCTAAACACGATTATATATACAAAAATAAAGCAAAATATGATATAGTCTTATAAAAATATAAGTCTCCCTCCGCCATCAAGTCTTAGGGTAACACCGTTGATCATTGGATTTTGAAGAATATTCATTACACAGGAACTAAATTCATCCGGTTTACCCATACGCTGTATCGCCAATTGAATATCATTTAAATAATCGAGTTCAGAATGACC